AAAAAAAAAAAAGAAATTTATATTTTGTAAAAAATCCATTTCTTCTTAATTTTTATATTTATTGGCATAAGGTTCATTTTTATTATAATTTAAAAATCTAGTATGATAGTGTTAAAAGCCATGGTAAGATTGGTCAAGAAAAAAGGCATGCGTTCTAACATTTTCTATTTGTGCCTTTTTTCTTGGCTTTTTTTCTTGCATTTAATACTGTTGATACCAGAGAACTAGTGTTAGATGAACACTGTTAGCACATAGTTTGAAGTAAGATGGTAAATTCCTAGAAATACAGATTGATGAACTTGAATGTTAATTCTTAACAAAATTCTAAAATTATTAAAATATCATTATTAAAATGATAGCCCTGAAAATGTAAACAAGAGAATAGTAGTACAATAGAAAGCAGGAGTAACATTAGTTCACAAAAGTTATGCCAAACCTATACATTTCTTTTTGCTTGTTTGAGTTAGTACCAATTAGGGACATGTTCTGACTATTTCAACAAAACTTCAGACAAAGCTTCTCAAGATTCCATATGGACCAGATGGAGAAATGTAGGTTGGGTGACAGGCAGTACTTTAAGTAAATATTTATAACTCTCTGAATGGCTACGCTCAAAGAATGATGATTAATAGAACAAAATGAACTGTGGAAAACCTCTTGTCTGATGCCATTCAACATTTTTATTAATTAAAGATAGGAAAAGTATTCTTATCAACTTTGAAGATGACACAAAGCTGGGATGTCAGCTAACATGTAGATGACAGAATTGGCACACAAAAAGATCTAAGCAGGCTAGAAAGATGGGATATGATGAATAATATATTTAATAAGGGTAACAATAAAGGTCTGTACTCAGGCTTAAAACGTCAATCAAACAAGGATTGATTTTAATTGGGGTTGGCAAACTACTGCTTATGAGCTAAATCGAGCCTGCCACCTGTTTTTGTATGGCCCATGAGTTAAGAATGCTTTTTATTTTAAAATGCTTTTTGGGGCGCCTGAGTGGCTCAGTCATTAAGCGTCTGCTTTTGGCCCAGGTCATGATCCCAGAGTCCTGGGATCAAGTCCCACATTGGGATTCCTGCTCCACGGGAAGCCTGCTTCTCCCTCTCCCACTCCCCCTGCTTGTGCTCCCTCTCTCACTGTGTCTCTCTCTCTGTCAAATAAATAAATAAATAAATCTTTGAAAAAAAAAAAAAAAAACTTTTTAAAATTATTTTGTGATATGTGAAGGTTATGTGAAATTACATGAAATCCATACTTCAGTATCCATGAATAGTTTTTTCTCTTAAAGATTTTATTTATTCATCTGAGAGAGCGAGCGAGGGAGAACACAAGCAAGGGAAGTGACAGAGGGAGAAGCAGACTCCCCACTGAGCAGAGAGCCCGATGTAGGGCCTAATACAGGGCTCGATGTGTGCTAGATCCCAGGACCTGGAGAACAGGGCCTAAGACAAAGGCAGATGCTTACCCATCTGAGCCACCGAGGCACCCCTCCATGAACAGTCTTATTGGAACTTTGCCATGGTCATCCATTTATACATTGTTGATGGCTACTTTTATAACAGTTATAACACTTTTGGGTTATAAGTGTTACATATATACTTTTATAACACTTATAACACTTTTGTGTTATAGTGACACAGGAGCTTTGATAGAGACTATAAGGCTCATAAAGTCTAAAATATTTATTATCTGGCCTTTTACAGAAAAAGTAAAAAGGCTGACCTTTGATCTAGATGTGTAAAACATAAGGTTTTGTTCATTACAAAGTCACACTATAAGGCAAGAGTGTACTATATTTGCCCCCAAAAGTAAAATAATACAATCTTTGATTATATTAACAGAGTTAAGGAGGAACTACATGCATCAGAATTTTTAGATACCAGGGCACCTGGGTGGCTCAGTCAGTTAAGCATCTGCCTACGGCTCAGGTCATGATCCCCGGGCCCTGGGATCAAGCCCCATGCTCAGCAGGGAGTATGCTTCTCCCTTTCCCTCTGTTGCTCCCCCTGCTTGTGCTCTCTCCCCCTCTCAAACAAATACATAAAATCTTTGGGGCACCTGGGTGGGTCAGTGGGTTAAGCCTCTGCCTTCGGCTTGGGTCATGGTCTCAGGGTCCTGGGATCAGGCCCCACTTCGGGCTCCTTGCTCAGCAGGGAGCCTGCTTCCCCTTCTCCCTCCAACTGCCTCTCTGCTTACTTGTATTCTCTATCTCTCTGTCAAATAAATAAATAAAATCTTTAAAAAAAAATACATAAAATCTTTAAAAAATTTTTTTAGATACCAACTAAGGACCAGGCACTGTGCTTGCTAGTTATGCAAAGATGACTACAAACTAAGATTATAATGGCGACTAAAACTTGGTTCTTGCCTTCAAGATCAAAGTCAAGAAAGGTGGACAAACATATAACTAATATTATAATGCTATGTGCTAATAGTGTGATCTACATCTAGATACTACATCAGTTCTGGGTAGTATATATTAAGTAGGACACTGTCAGGTTTAATATTGTCAGAGGAAAACAAAAAGTTCAAGACGATCTATAAGTTATCACATGGAGAAAGTTGAAAGAATTGGCTGAAATATTTCAAAAGAGATCAGAGAGAAATGTAATTAATATCACAAATGTTCAAAATAGAAAAAGGACTAGAATTTTTCTTTTACAACTCCAAGTGGGAGAACTGAACTCAACAAACTTTAAGCAGGAAGACATCAAAGATAAAAGAACTTACTAGCAAAGTAAAAATTTTAAGTCTTTTCCATCCCTGAAAGTATCCAAGAAGAGTACATGATAATTTATGGAGGAAACTAAAGAAAGGATCCCTGCATTGGTTCTTTTAGACTGGATCAAGTTCTAGGAAAGACAGACTGAGAACAGATAATGAAGAATCTTAGAAGCCAAGTTGAAGACAATGGGTTCTAGCCTGTGGTTTTAAAGAGGACTGGGGGTGATTTTGTCCCAGAAGAAAATTTGACAATTTTGAAAGACAGTTTGGCTGTTACAACTTGGAGGGGAGGTGTGTGATGCTCCTGGCATTTAGTGGGCATTTCCAGAGGCTTCTAAATACCCCCATGCACAAGACAGGCCCCCACAACAAACAATTACTTAGCCCAAAATGTGAATACAGAGGTGGAAAAACCCTGTGCTAATATATTTGGGGGTGCAACTGTGAGGGTTGGAGACTTAGGGAGAGAACTTGCTTTCAGTTAAGTTATATTTTAGGGAAAAATATCAAGCACTGATGTCGAGTGTAAGAATAAGGAAAAGAATGTCAAAATGTTCCGTTCTTTCCTTGCCTCACAGTCTTAGCATCTAAATTGTCTGAGGGAAGTCAACATGTACTTTAACATAAAACTCATTTCGTACCTTCTATATCCATCAGTATCCTTCCTATTTCCTGTGTTGGGTGTTCATTATTTAATGGCAGAACTTGAGTTCTCTTTAAGGTTCCTTGTTTATGGTTAACGAGAAAGAGGCAAACCAGCCCCAGAGAAACCCACAGAGAATGCTGCTTCCACAACTCCAAGGTGCAGGCTTGTGCTACACTCTAACCAACCCCCCCCCAACCTGGGATAACTTAACTCTAAATCAGTACACACATATTCCCTCAGGGCCTAGATTACTAAAGGGGGTGCACTCTGGGGTGCCCTCCTTGTCACTTTTCAAGGTCCCTGACCCTGGACATCCCTGTCCCAGAGCCACTGAGCTACCCTTTCATCTCCAGGTCACATGCCCTTCCTGGTCCTTTCTGAAAACCTGAGGGGTCAAGTCCACAGTTCACTTTATCCCTGACTTGGTACTCTCCACATGACTGACTGGGAGCTTTTATGTAAATTAGAAAACGGCCACCCTCTGTCTCCCAGGGCCCGGACCTACAGCTTGGTATATCACTACATATACTGTGTAATGAATGGCTTTGGACCGAGATGGGTTTGGGACAGAGGCGAGGAGGTGGTGTCAGTGACCAAAGACATTCATTTCAAGACCTCCGAGGGTCCTAAGCACTCAGGCTACTGGACGCCCCACCCCAAATTACATAAAATACATTAAATGAACTCACATCCTACATTAACCATAAATCATTATATATGGGTTACGTAGCAGTTTAAAGGTTACAGTTTGGTAGACTTTTTCATTCCAATCTGCAATTGTTTTTCCCTTTTAGGAATGAAACCATTATTTCGGGGCTCAAAAAAGTTCGTGAACTGGCACTGATGTCTCTAGGACTGAGGGAGAGAACAGATCTGCGTCAGAGTTCACCCCTCCCTGTCCCCTCTCGAGCGGCCACTCAGCGCCCTCCCGCCGTCCGCCTCCTCACAACCCTCTCCATCAGCTCCCGGCTCCGTCGGTCCGGTCCAGCCAGGCTCCCACCTATCCCAGCGCGGGCCCAACTCGCCCCGCCGCCCCGCCGCCTCGCTGCCCGGCCGCCCCGCCACCCCGCCACCCCGCTCGCCTGAGCCTCCCGTTAGCTCCAAGAGCGCGGACTGTCCGGAATCCGGATCTCCCTTCCACTCCTCCCGGAAAAGCGCGCCCCTGTCCCTAGTTCCGCCCCCCACTCCCGGCCTCCTAGGAGTCCCCGGGAGCGCGCACCTCTCTGCTTGAGCTTTTCGCTCCACCCCACCCGCCGACCCCGCCCCGCGCAGCCCATCCCGGCCCTCAGCCCAGCCCCCGGGGCGCGCGCCTATCCCGACTCCCGGCTCTTCGACCCTCCCCGCCCACAGGTCCCGCCCTGCGCAGCCTGGCCCGGCCCTCAGCCCCGCCCCCAGAACGCGGGCACTTCTCGACTCGCGGTTATTTGCCCCACCTCTCCCGCAAGCCCCATCCCTATGTTCTCCTTTACTTGGTAGGTTGAAGTGCGTAGCCTCAGCTTAAGGCCTTTCCCCAAGCAAATGCCTGAGCCTGCACCGTCTACCCTCCCCCACCTCAGATCAATTCCAGGGGCTTGCAGAACCCAGGAGACCCAACCCCGCGCGAGCACGCACGCGCAGTGCCTACCTCTCCCGGATCCGCGCCTCCGACCCTCAGGTCTTCTCCCAGGGGCCAACCCCGCCTCCGGTCCGGCCCCGCCCCCATCCCGGCCCCGCCCCTCATGCCGGGTCCCGCGCACGCGCATCTCCCCAGCCCAGCCTTTTCCCCCGCCCCCCCCCGCCCCTCGCCAGCCCCGCGGTCACACGGCGCCAGGTCGCCCCCAGCCCCCTCCCTCCTCCCAACCTCTCTCGGTCCCACCCTCCGTAGCTTTGTGCCCGCGGCGTCGAGCCGCTTCCCCCTTCAGGCGCGCCGCGGGAGGAGGGAGCCGCCACCGAGAAGCTGCCGCTCGCAGCCCCGGGCAGGGGCACAGGTAGGTGGCGGCCGCGGGCTGGGCCGCTCACGCAGCCTGGGGCTGCGAGTGGGGGCGAGGGCGGGGTGTGAGGGAGGGGCGGAGTGGGGGAGGGGAAGACCGGGAAGGACGGGGTTGGGGTGTGGTCCGGGTGAGATGTGAGGATGAGGATATAGGGATGTGGGAGATGGGTTCAAGGGTGGGGTCGGGGTGCCTCGTAGGGTAATTGGGGGCAAGGTGGAAGAAGGGAGCAGGGTTAGTTTGGGCGGGCTCGGGGAGGGGCATGCGTGGGAATTGAGGGAGGGATGGAGATTGCAGTACTGGAGAAGGGGAAGACGGAGTGGAATTTGAGAAGTGTAAGAAGGAAAGGATCCAGGATCGGAATAGAAGAAGTGGGGTCTTGGGGGTAGGGAAGAAAAGTTGGGGCTGTGGGTTGTGAGGTTGGGCTTCGTGAGGCGTGAAGGAAGGGGATTTTGAAGGTTATAGGATTGGAGTCCTAGGAGAGGGAATCCCAGAGACTGGGAGGAAGGGAAGAATACTTGAAGGACAGAGGAAGAATGCCTGGAGGTGGAACCGTGTAGGGAAGGAAGGAGAGGCAGGTGAAGGTGGGATTGGGTGTTTGGGACCAGGAACCTCATTTCAGAAGGGCATTGGTAGGGTAGGATTGGAGGGGCCTGAGGTGTGAGAGGTGGGGACAGGGATGCTGGGACTGGGTGAAGGGAGGGGAGTTAGGATTTGGGGTGTAGAGATTGGGTTTTATGTTAAAAAAAATTCTAGCGTTGTCAGGTAGAAGAACTGTAAGAGTGTCAGGATGTAGGAGAGATTGGCGTGCTCCTGGAGGGAAGTAGGGAGCTGGGTATGGTGTGGCCTTCTGGAGCTTTGGGGGAGGAAAGGGTTGGGGTGAGAAGGCAGGTAGGAAAGTGCACTCTGTAAGGAAAAAATAATGAGAGGGGTGGAAAATTGAATAATGGTGGTGACACAGAACAACCAAGGCAAGATCATTAGTTGGTTATTGGTGGTTTGGAACTTGTTTCTGTTCAAGTTTTTGTGTAGGAATTTTCTCAAGAGTACTGCATTTTCAAATAAACCAAGGGTGTCTGAAGCCTTGGGATGAAGGCCATGGCTTGACAGATGTTTTCCTGGTGTGTGGATGTGGGTAATTTCTGCCCTGGCAGAGGGAGGAAGGGAGGACAGTGTAGCTCTGTCCTGGCTCTGTTCCCACCAGCTCTTTCCTCAGATGGCCACTGGTTTTTTTATCTCCTCCCTGCCCCCCACCCCCAGCTTAAGCCAGTGAACACCAGAGGGATCAAACAGGTGGGTGAGATTAATTTTTGACATCTTTTTTTAATCCTTAAGGCTGATGTCATATTTTTATTCTTGAGAGACAGCATCATGCAGTGGAAAGAGTCTGAGCTTTGGAGTAATACAGGCTTGAGATGGAATTCTGGCTCTGTCACTTACTAGTTCTGTTCCTTAAGTTACTTCACTTCTCTGAGCCTTGTTAACCTGTTAAATGGCAATCCTGACCTAATAGGATTGTTGAGGGTTATGTGAGATCACTTGAGTACCTAGCACAATGCTTGGCAACTGGTAGGTACTTAAGAAATGCTAGCTATCACACCTAGTATCGTTGTCATCATCACTATCGTTACTGTGATTTATTTTTAGGGGATTGTTCTTTTGCCTGCTAAAGTTAGGTGCTTTCTTTTTTCCTTCACATTAGAGAGCCATAGACTCAGCTCACAATTTGGTCCTGTGGCCTCTGCCTCTGATTCCCCCCCTCCAGTCTACTTGATTGGCAGGGTCCTGCTTCTTGCTTGGTAAACTGGCTTCAAGATCTAGAAAGTTGTCATGTTTAGTTATCAGTTATTTTAGTTCAGAGACTACAGAGTACTGAGTTCTTAATGTGGTAAGGTTACATTTTATTCATTTGACAAAATGACGTGCTCGAAAATACAGTTAATGCAGATCTAAACTGGACATTCTTGCAGATACTAATTATTTTGATTTTCCAGTTTGTAGGGGATTTTTGCCATGGTGTAGAACAGGCCTTGTCGCCTGAGGGCCCATTTATAATAGACCACCATGTACAACAGCCAGGCGTAAGCAAAGCCAAATAATAGAAGTTGTATGTGGAATTCTCTTGCTTTTATGGTTCTTAACCTTGCAAGACTTAAACATTCATTTAATTCTTAGCTCATTTTATAGTATCTCACAAACTCTCAGGAAGCTTCTTATTGAGCGAATGCAAGATGCAGGGATTTAGTAGTAGAAATCAAGGGTTACCAGGATTCCCTGAACCAAGTACCTCAGGTACCTCAAGTACCTCAAGTACGTTCATTGAAGAGCCAGAGGAGCCTTGGGGCTTCTGGACAGAGACTGTGGATTTTACTCTTCAGGAAATACTGGATTTTTTTTCTTTTCATCATTTAGAAAGACAGTCAGCATTTTGTGAGTAATTTAGAAGTAAAAAATAACCAGAACTGGGCCGTTTTTTTTTTTTATATATATATTTTATTTATTTATTTGAGAGGCAGAGAGAGACAATGAAAGAGAGAGAGCATGAGAGAAGAGAAGTCAGCGGGAGAAGCAGACTTCCTGCTGAGCAGGGAAGAACTGGGCCTTTTTTGAAAGTGATCCCTGCAAAGAGAAGCTTGCCAGGATTTGGGGCAGCCTGGGTTAGCGTCCTTGCTCTGGTCCCTGGCTGCTTGTGCCCTCTGCTGGATGGAATCAAACTTTTCTGATTTACACCTGAAGTGGTCATTTATCCACTTGTCCGTTTGACTCCAAAGTTTGTGGAACACACTGTTGGGGTGAGGGTTAGGAGTAATGTGGATGGGCAGACCCTGTTCCATTGTCAGGGAGCTTATGATGTGCCGATCCATTAGAATATGTTCTCCCCATAGAATTTGCTTTTCCATTATTACAATCAAGTTATTGCTTTTTAGGGCCATGCCTGGTGACTAATTTCTGATCCACAGGTAGAGTAGGACTCCAAATGTGCAAATCCAGGGATAAAGACTGAGGGGATCTGCTTTATGTCCTCATCAAGATTAAAGTATGTGAAGTTGCAGGGGCCAGATGCTTACCTCTGCTGGAAGAAGAGCTTAGAATATGTGAGGCCTCTCCTTAGCAGCAGGCCCTGAATGCTGGCAAGAGTATGGGTTATGAGAGCTGGCACCGTGACAGGAGTTTTTTGTCTGGGTTTTAGGGTTTTTTCCCACTGGTAGTACCAGTAGCAGTATCCTGCCATCATTTGCTATGCTTCTACCACCTGCAGAAGGGTCTGGCGAGTCGGGAGGAGCCTACAGCTGTTGCCTGGAAGAGGAGCTGGCTCCTAGCAACAGTATCAGCAGGCCCAGCAGCTCTGAGCACTGTGTCTGTCCCTTTGAGGTCTCACCCTTCCTCTCATTCAGTTCAGCACCTACCTGTTGAGGGCTTACGCAGTACTAGGCACTGTGTTGGGCCTGGGGAAAAGAGATTAATCAAGTCAAATAAGTGCCTTACCTTCCAAGAGCTCACAGCTCTGGGAACATTAGCAAGTGAACATAGGACACAGTGCTAAGTGCTATATAGAGAAGAGACACGGGTGCCCTGGGAAAACCAGAAAGGCGCGCACTGGTGCAGGGGTTAGTGAAGATTTCCCAGGAGAGAGATGATGGTTGAGCTGGGTTTTTTTTTTTTTTTTTAAAGATTTTATTTATTTATTTGACAGAGAGAGTCACAAGCAGACAGAGAGGCAGGCAGAGAGAGAGAGAGGGAAGCAGGCTCCCCGCTGAGCAGAGAGCCTGATATGGGACTTGATCCCAGGACCCTGAGATCATGACCTGAGCCAAAGGCAGCGGCTTAACCCACTGAGCCACCCAGGCGCCCGAGCTGGGTTTTAATGATGAGTAAGGATTAGCTAGGTCAGGAAAGCTGAGAAGGATGTTCCAACCAAAGGGAGCAGAATGGGCAAAGACCAGTGGGACAAGAGAGCGCAGCCAACTTACTTGGGTGGTATGGCATGGCCATAGGGCGAGAGAAGCTGAGCAGGAAAGGGTGAGGCTGTCAGACTAGGTAGAGCCCTTCTTTCTGATGTGCTTTTACCCACGTAATTATTCTCAGGAGAAATAGGGATCGTACCGATGCCCACAAACAGGATCACTGTTTGATCTCCAAAGACTCAGCGTTTTGATCACTGACTCGATTGTTTGCTGACACTTTTACGTGGCATCAGAGCTATAGCCCAGCCCTGCATTGATGCAGAAGCTGGGTTACTTCACTCTAAAAGTCAGAGTCTTTTAAAGATAATGGCAGTTATATGACATATATAGAATTTTAGCTCTCACCTCTCTTTAAATTGTTGTGGAAATGATAATCAAATATTTCTATTTAATGTAGGAATTTCTCCTGTACTTTTGAGATCTCACGGTTTCTCAGGAAAACAAAAATTTATTCCAATTAATGCTTGAGCACAAAATGGCACCCATAGGATTGCATAAATGCCCACTGTTTTTGGTGTTTTGCCTTATGTCAGAAGTGTCCTAAATAGAGCCTTAAGAGATAAGATGTTTCCAAGGGGTAGAATACTTTTTTTTTTGGTTAGCTCTTGTGATGGAGGTCTTTCTTTGTAGTTCCAAAAAACCCTGTTTTTGGTGGTCCATACAAGGCTTAGCAAATGAGTAAACTTTAGTTCCACAGATACCCACTCAGGGTCTCTTATATGCCAGAACTAAGTTA